AACTTGGCCTAGAATGTTTTAAGAATTTAAGTGTGTGCAAGTGTGTTAAGCTTTATCTGCTACTGGACATTGAGTTGTTAAGAATTTGCATCCCACAAACAGATTTACAGTACTTGGAAGTTGGGGGGGGGGGGGAAACAAGCTTAATTTCAGTCGAGCTAAACTTTGCATCGTTTAAGTTTAGGAGTGTGAGTCTTGCTCTTTTTAGAAGGTTGTCCCTATGGTGGCGGAGGAAGAGAGGTGGCTTCTTGCTCCGGACAAAGGTGGTGTGCATGTGTTAGGTTCTCTCTGTGTCTCATATGCCCACTTTGCCATTAACCACTCCCATCTCCCCAACTCTGCAGACAGCAGAGCCTCCCCACTGGGAAGACGGGCGCTTTGTTTTCCAGCTGCAGCGCTCACCGCTGTGCGAGTACCTCATCAACTTCATCCGCAAACTGCAAACGCTGCCAGAAAAGCCGATGATGGACAGCGTGCTTGAAAACTTCACCATCCTGCAGGTATTTGGGGAAGGAAACGAGGGGCCAATTTGCGCTCTCTCTATCTTTCTCCCTCTCTTTCCTTCCCTGGGGGAGGAGAAGGCAGAATAGGGAGCCAAGCCAAAACTTGAATTCTCCATAAATAGAAACTCCAGTCCTTGACCGACCCAGAGTCAGTACAGGGCACCCTTTTAATTTCCCACAGCTCTCCAGAGTGATGCATTGTGGGAAATCTAAATGGCACTTATAAAATCCTCCAGTGGCAAGCTCTAGCTTAGGAACATTCCTTCATGTAGGATAGCAAGGGCAGTGTGGCGCGATGCCTCTTCTAAGATTATGCTGGCTGTGCCTTGTGCATCCATGATGTAATAGTGTGCTGGTTGTAACTATATTTTCTCATGCGGAAACACAGGCATAACCGAACAGAGTAGAATTCAATTGACAGACTTAAGCTTCTTTTAATTGGGCACCAACCCTTTATAAATGCTTGTGTTTTGCAATTTGTGAGTCGGCTGTAAGGCAGTGGAGACCTGGTACAGCAATAAGGGTGAGGGGAGGGAAGATGGCAGCACCTGTCAAATTTGCTATGGGGGCTGCAGCAAGCTCCCTGTGGGAGAGATTTAGGGAAATCTCATTACGCTCCTAGATTCGGGCAGGATTATCCCCTTGCACTGCTGTGAAACTTGTAAGAATACGCTTCATTCCCCCCCCCCCAGGTTTTGCGGGATCAAGAAACTCAGGAGTTACTTTTATGTGTGGCCTTCGTGTTTGAAGTGTCTGCCAGCGAGCACGGGGCACAACACCACATCTACCGGCTGGGCCGGGAGTGATGAACAGCTTTTACCCCACCTCCATGCTCCAAAGTGGGTCACTCACCTCCGCTGCCTCACCCACCAGGAGGTCTACGGCCTGTCTGTGAACTGTGAATGGACTGCTATGACAACTGCTGAACCTTCTGTGATAATGGCTTTTTTGTCACCTGGCAACCACCGGCAAACCCAGCAACTGATTCTACCAATGGATATCCTCCTCTCTCCCTGATGGCCACAAAGTTAGGCCCGAGGCCCAAGCCCAGAAGCACTGCTGTTATTCAGCGGAGAAGCTCGCAGCCATGGCAACAGCATTGTCGAGCAGCAGTGCTTTCAGGGCAAGCTCCCCCCACCAGTCAAGCTGTGGGATATCAGGAGTTAACCTCTACCATACATATGCCATTGACCGAGAACATCCCCCTCCGTGTGGCTGGGATTTCACACACTCCATTGTCAATCAGACACGTGGCATTTTCGAGGACGGTTGCTTTCAATGATCTGGCAGAAGTTTGATGAAGCTTAACCTGTCTGTGTGAGAATTAGGAGTAAGGAGATCAACCTGTTTTGGGGGTGGGCCACCACACCACTTCACCTCAGGTAGCGGGGTCCACATGATTGTAGGCTCCTCCCCAGAAAAGCTAGTGTTCTGTGTGTGGGGTTTTGGGTATGGAGAAGCATTCAGTAAGGCGAGCCTCTGCTTGCAGCCTGAGGTGACACAGCCCTGAAAGCAGTATACATTTGATCCTGCAGGCTCTCTTTACCAGTACTACACCTAATCTGGTGTTGTTTTTAACCATGCCTACTTTGGGGGCGGGGGAGGAGTCCCATTGTAGAATTTAGTGGGCCTTACTCCCTGTCGCACTGGAGGTGGAGACATTCACCTTTCAGAGGCTTATCACCTCACAAGAGATTCAAGGCTTTGTCTATACATGCAGCAGAATGAGGAGGTAGAACGGCTGCAGTGGGGCCAACACTACAGGCGATTCTATTCATTATTATTCCTAGGTGTAAACTCCCTTGAAGAACACCAGCAAACCCAGGGAGAAAAGTTCGCCTGCAGGCCTCTGCCTGCAGTGCTTGCTTTCTGCTAGCAAGAGTTTTATGTAGGCCGGCACCCAAAAAGAAAGTTCAGCGGGCCGGTCTTTAAGCTGCAAATAATCGTTCCCTTCAACAGGAGTGCAGAACCTTTCTCTCCTGTTGGAGGCCAGCATAGCCTCAGCACCCATTGTTTGGGGGCCATCTTCTAGTGGTGGGTGGGGGCACCCCATTTCACCCCTTCCTTGCCACTGCCATGAATTTGGCCAAAGGCTCCTAATTGCACTCCTCCTTGCACAGGAGAACACTTGCTTCGCATTCAGAAGGTCCCAGGTACAACCCCACTATCTCTAGGTAAGGCAGGGAGAGACCTTTGTGGAACCCAGGTGAGCCACTGCCAGCCCATGCAGATGCTAATTAGGGTCAGACTCTGCCTACGGCAGCTTTCTCTGCTGCCACCCTGTAGCTGCAAATGGGGAAGTAACATGGTTTATTCCACAGCTTTGTTCTGCTGGCTGTTTAGATCCAGCCTCTGATGGAGCGAAGTGTAAGAACGAGCCAAGCTTTGCTTAAAAGTGTGGGGTGTACGAGACACATTTGGACTTTATGTACAGTGCTACCTCAGTTTACGCAGTTTACGAACTTAATCTGTTCCAGAAGTCTGTACTTAAACCAAAACCGTTCTTAAACCGAGGCACGCTTTCCCTAATGAGGCCTCCCGCCTCTGGTGCCCTTCCACCGTTGATTCCGTTCTTAGACTGAGGTAAAGTTATCAAACCAAGACACTTTCCGGTTTTGTGGAGTTTGTAAACCAAATTGTTCTTAAACCGAGGTACCGCTGTACTTTCTTCGTATACAGTCCTTTTCCCTTGCCCCTTTGCCATTCACAAGGTTGCAGCGGTCTCTCGCTTTGGTGGGAAAGGGGGCAAATTATGTGATCTTGCATAAAGTTTATTTTGACATAGTACGGAGGTCTGAGTGATTTTTCGTTTCCCCTTCAGCCCATTCTAACTCGAGAGGCCTGTAGGTTTGCAGCTTTTGCTGTGGGGTTGACTGCTTTGGAGGGCAGGGTGGAAGGGTTCATTAGCAGACGGGTTGGAGCAGGATTAACCCTTTCTTGGGTTTTGTACTTGCGGGTGGTGCTGTGGTCTAAATCACTGAGCCTCTTGGGCTTGCCGATCAGAAGGTCGGTGGTTCAAATCCCCGCAATGGGATGAGCTCCCATTGCTCTGTCCCTGCTCCTGCCAACCTAGCAGTTCGAAAGCACACCAGTGCAAGTAGATAAATAGGTACCGCTGCAGCAGTAAGATAAACAGCATTTCCGTGCGCTCTGATTTCCGTCATGGTGTCTTGTTGCGCCAGAAGCAGTTTAGTCATGCTGGCCACATGACCCAGAAAGCTGTCTGTTGACAAACGCCAGCTCTATCAGCCTGAAAGCGAGAAAGTGCCGCAACCCCTTAACCATCCAGGGGTCCTTTACCTTTTTACCTTTACTTGGGGAGCACCCCACTAGTCTCAGAAATCAACAAGTCTGGCACGGTAGGGCAAGTCAAAAGAAGCACCAGCACTTACCACTTGTGGAAAAGCTGCAAGTCAGCAGGATGAAGAAGAACTCCCTTGTCGGGACCAGTTCTGCCACAGACCAGCTTTGGACCAAGGTACGACTTCCCAACAGCCTGTGGCACATACAACGCACTTGGGCTGGAAGGAGCCTTCTGAGAGATCCCATCAAGCTAGAGCAGCCAATAGGAGGAAGAGGTGTGGCTAAGAATGCCCTTGATAGCCATACCTCTCCTGTTCCTTGATTGTTGTCGTTCTCTTAGGGTTGAGGCCTGCTTAGTCGTTCTTTCTAGAGGCCATCTTAGCTTGCTCACATCTCCAGAGTGCAAAAGAACCAAAGCAAAACGGCCATTTAGGGATTTTTATTTATTTATTTACAAAACAGGATAATAATAATAAAAAACCCAACCCACAAAATGCACAAAACAACCCCAAATACTGTTAAGAAGCAACAAGCTACGGATAAAGGTGAAATATATGCGTACCTCATTCCACCAGCATCCTCCCTTTTAACGTGTTCCCTCACAACTCCACTACAGTGGTACCTCTGGATGCGAACAGGATCCGTTCTGGAGCCCCGTTCGCACCCTGAAGCGAATGCAACCCACCTCTGCACATGCACAGGTCGCGATTCGCCGTGTCTGTGCATGCGCGTGACATCATTTTGAGTGTCTGCGCATGCGCGAGCGGCAAACCCAGAACTAACATGTTCTGTTACTTTCGGGTCGCCGCAGAGCGCAACCCGAAGCTACTTTAACCCGAGGTATGACTGTATGTCAAACATCCAAGTGGTTTGTATGCATAAACAGATACACAACACATGCAGCAAGTGTTAGAAATGGGCTTTCCCATCGGACAATGTACAGGTATAAACAAGTGGAGCAGAATAACAAAAGTAATGACAAATGATGTGAGTTGAGCGCAACTTTTCCAAATAGTTACCAAGACATGGGGGGGAGAAGGGGCTTATGTAGCTCCAGCCAAAGCTCCGGGAGACCACCAATGTACACATGCACACACTGACAGGATTGAGAGCAGAAACTGGCCTTGTTGGGCAGCTGCCAAGACCTAGAAGTGTCCAAGCAGGACTCATGACAAATACCTGCCCTCGGTCCCCTTAAAATACTTGTTTCTAGTCTTATTGTTCAAAACAGGCTAAGATGCTGGATCTAGAGGCCAGTTTAACTTTTCCACCATGCCCCACAGCCCCCAGAAATCTGGAGCTTGCCTGGCAGACACACATGCCCAAGACAAGCAAAGTTTTCCTCCTTCCCTGGGATTTCAAGTGTTCACAATGAAGACGTCTTTACCAGAGCTGGCTACGCTCGCTTGTGTTTCTTTTGTGTAAGAAGAGCCCATCTGAGAAGGATAAGTGCATTCAAACTGTTGGAATGGGGAGGCAACCTGTGGCCTTCCAGATGTTGAACCTGTTTGAGGTGACGAGTTGGGGCCCAACAACATCTGGAAGGCCACAGGTTCCCCACCACCTGTGCAGGCAGCTAGCTGGGGTGTGCATGCGTTAAGATTCTGAGAGACAAAAATTGGACCAAACTCCTCATGGCGGGGAAGCCCACAGTCTCAACGTGCGCAATAACAGAATTAACAAACAGAAAATGGGAAGGGGAGAGCAGGGCTGTGGCGTAGAGAAGGGCATCAGAACAAAGGCTGGAAGTTTTCTAACGACTGGAAGGGGGGAGATTGGAGGGGACAATGGCTGTTCTCCCCTAGGCATTTTCAGCAAATCCAGCCATGGTGACTCAGAGCAAGTGTGGGCAACCTGTGGCTCATGTTGCTGGACTGCAACTTCCATCATGCCTGTGATGGTTGGGGATGATGGGAGTTGGGAGTCCAGCAGCTGGGAGGGCCAGAGGATGCTCATCCCCGGGTTAGACATTACAGTACAAGGTGTAAACTGAGTGGGTTAAAAGAATTTCACAGGCACTCCCTTATGTTTTGGAGTACAGTTCCCATCAGCCCCAGCTGGGAGGGCCAGAGATTATGAGAGTTTTAGTCTAGCAATATCAGGAGGGCCACAGGTTCCCCATCCCTAATTTAAAATGTTGCGCTAAGCACCTGAGCACCATCGCTCAAAAACATGGCTCATCCAAGTTCTCAGTACTTTTCTTTCTTTCGCTGCTAAATAAAATTTAAACATTTTAACATCAGCTTTGTTTTTGTACTACGAAAGGCAGGATTAATTCCAAAATGAGCTTATTAAGGAATTTTACGGAATAGTCTATAGAATTGCTATGGTTGTTATTAGTAGTAGTAGTAGTAAAAAAAAACCCCTTTAAAAACACGCATTTGCTTTCCAAGTTATGTTTTGTAATCCACTCGAGTCTGGCAGTGAACTCTTTATTCTGCCAAACAGTGCTGAAGCAGGGTCTAGCCTTGAATGTCACAAAATGAATACTCAAGAGCCAAAATAATCAGAAAAACGTCGGGACTAAATCTTTTGGCATTATTACATCAAATTTCAGAATGGATAAGCTTAAGGTTTGGGGAAATGATTTAGGGCTAAATCATCTGTTTTGCTGTATGAAGAATTCTGCAGGGTATTGTAATGGATTCTCCTGACACCTGCAACTCCTGAGAGTTTAATTTCTTTTCCCAAGGGTATGGTAGAACCAATCCTAGCTCTGTGCAAGGAAAGGTTAGGTAGAGAATCTCCATAGGCACCTTGCAGCCCTGAAGTGGAAAGTTTTGAATTTAAAGGGATGGATTCCATTGTCACCCCCTATAAAATCTGGAACTCTGGGAAGTGGCGATTCGACTCCTAGGAATAGCGAGTGAGCTTGTCATAGTTGGGCCCGATGGTCCTACACAGAAACATCGATAGCGTCATGAGGCAGAGCTGTGGGAAGAAAGAGATCCAGTTAAAAGAGGGCTCACGTTGCTGCTCTGATACAACCACTGGCACCAATGGGGGGCAGCCCCAGCTGCATTTCGTGGGACGTTGATCACCCAGAGGGTGGACCTCACAGGAAACACCAGGGCAGCCTTCGCATTCTGGAGTTGCCTGGGCTTTTTAAAAAGAGGTTTACGGAAGAAAGCAGAAGGCCATTATCTCTCCCCCTCCCCCCCCATCTAGCTGGATAAGGAGGGAAGAGAAGTTAAACTATCTACAGTGTTTGAAATCCCCCAGGTGCCAACTAGTGTGGGTCCAACTGTCACCACATGGAGACCTCATGATGCCAGGTTGGCGACTGACATCTCCATCTGGCTGGCCCCGCTAGCTTTCCTAAACAGGTCGCACAAAACAAATGAAATACCGTGAAAATCCCTGAAACGAGAAGTAATCGACTAGAAATATTATCTTGTGGAAATCAACTAAATAATAAAAATCAAAAAGCTTAAGGAAAAAAATTAGAAAAACCTAAAATAGAACAAAACCTTAACGGGATGCCGGCTACAAACCTTGTTTCACTGAACTATTCAGTTTCCTCAGAAGGAAGTAGAATTTTAAATGATCTGACCAAAATTCAAACAAGGGTAGAACCCCAAAAATTCTGACGTATTATAATCCTAGCTCCACCTAGGTAAAGCAAAACAGGTCAGCAGAAAAGCTTGTTTACTGCATTTATATCCCACCTTTTCCTCCAAAGAGTACATGGTTCACCCCCCCCCATCTCAATTAATCCCTACAATGACCCTGTGAGGAAGGCTAAGAGGCTGCGACTAGCCCAAGGTCATGACTGAGTGGAACCTTGATCTCTCAGGTCTGATACTTTAACCATGACACCACACTGGCTTCCTAGATTCCTGCTACAGGCCAGCTCTATGAATTAAGTAGGTAAATAAATATGGGGAAAGCAAAATGTCACTTAAGAGAAGGATCTGAAATATTTTCCTTGATGCCTGATTTTTTTATTATTATTATGGGTTGTTTTATTTGATGCTTTGATGTGTTATAAACCACTTTGAGATTTTTTATTTAAAATATAAAGCAGTATAGAAATAATAATAATAATAATAATAATAATAATAATAATAATAATAATAATAATCCCCATGGGTAGGGAGGAAAGTCGCCCAAACATTCCATTGTGGCAACCGTAACCCAAGTTTAAGGTGCCATTTGGCGATTGACTTATATATCTAAAAGTTTTTAACACTGTCTACAGATTATCCAGCAGAGGGAGGGTTCTTCTTTTTAAAGGTACACTTTCATTTCTCCTTCCAGCAACCCCCAGGAGGCAGGCAGGCAATCATAACGCCCATTTTGCACATGGAGAGGAAGTGCCTCACTCAGTGTGTTATTCGTGGAAGTGGCTGAACATGAGCATCTCCTGGCAAAACAGTTTCTACACAGTTGCGCAGTCCGTTTCCCCTGCCAGAACTTGCGCCTCAACTCAGGCCCATCTCAGCACAGGCTGAGGTAGGAGTTTCAGGATGAGCATCCGAGGCCCAGCAACCCGCAGTTTATCTGTAGGAGCGTGCATGCACGCACGCACACACACACACACCGCGTGCGCTCCACACCCATGGCAATCCCAAGGCCAACACAATGCGGGGCTTGCCAGAACCGTCTCATTCTTGCAGTTAAAGCACCGTTCCTTAGGTAGAAGGATGCAGTCCCTGGCCACCACATTTCCAGTTGGTCTAATAGCCGAGGCACCCATGCGCACACATCTACAGCACTCAAAAGGACATACAGCATCTGGAGTGGGCCACAGACCAGCATGTAAACATGCAACGCCTGACGTCGTAAGGATCACAAGACAATGCGTACAGAGCACTCTGAACATTTGGAAGCACTACACGATTGCTAATTATTTTGTTACCATCCTGGAAAAAAACACCCTGCTTTTCTTCTACTCTGGAAGGCAATGCTGCCCTTGTGCTAATGACAATAGACATTGTTCTGATACAGACCAAGTCTATTCTAAACCTTCAGATTCGGTTTATGAAGCGGAAGCATGCTGGGTTCCGCCTTCATTTCAATCTGTGCACTTCGACATTTAAAGCCCTACTTGCCATTCGTTCCAGATATGAATAGGCAATTACTCAGTGGTTCAGGCAGGGAAGCAGAGAGCGCACTCCAGGAACACAGGGCAGCTGCCTTGCACTGTACAGAGTCAGACCCTTGTCTCAGCATTGTCCACACACCAGCAGTGGCTCTCCAGGATTTCAAGGCAGGGATCTCTTAGTCCCGCCTTGAGACCATCTGCATGCAAAGCAGGTGAATGCAATATTCTATATTGTTTTATTCTTTTGTTTTGCTTTTTATTTTATTTGGAGCTTTGTGATATTTGGTGTGGTTTTTTTTACTTGCTCTTGCCTTGGCATTTCAAAGAGCTGCTGAGTCTAAATACTGGCTTTGGAATGGAAGGAAATGCTGACAAGATCAGAATGGTGTGTGTATCTTAGAGGGAGCAGGGTGGGTAATCAGTAATAATTCCTCCCTCCCTAGAAGTAACCACTCTGAACTCCCTCCTGTTGCATCTTAGCTATATTTTGAAATTTTCTTTCTAGCCCCTCCACCGCTTTCTCGTTCTCTTTCCCCTTCTCTCTTTCTTTTATGGAGGGCAGAGGCTTGGGCACTCTAAACACTTCCTCCTCTTGCTCTGAGGGGGCATCAAGGCTCCCCTTGCGAAGCAGCGCAGAGGGTGGCAATTGACTGCGAGGAGGAAAAGAGGGAAAGGAGGCGCCGCTACACACAGATTTGCAGCAGCTAAATCCCTACCAGGCAGAGGCAAAGCTCAGCCTTCCCACTCCACCTGGAGTAATTACCTTGCCAATATTCGAAGTAGATGTCCCTGTGCGGGCAACAGCAAAAAGGTTTAAAATAAGCAAAAAAATAAACAGAGAGGCAGAGGAGGTTTGGGAGAGTGCACTTGGGGAGGGAGCGCAAGGAAAACATGCAATTCCTGGTGTGTGTGTGTGTGTGTGTGTTGCTTTGTGTAGCCAAACAAAACACTGCATTCACAGGCATGCCTGGACACATGGCAGGGAGGTGCATGGGTCTCAAGAACCACAAAACAACCTGCTTTTCCACATAACTGCAGCAGCCAAGACACAAAGCATGCAAGCAGGCCACAGCTGGCCTCAGCACCCCACTTGCCGGTGCCAGCAGGGCAGTCCACATGCCCTTACTGGGCAGGTGTTGATCACACAGCACACTATATAAAGGCCCAAACAGCTGAGACAGGAGTCTGCCAAGCCGCTGGAGGCGGCAGTGACGAGAGCCAGAAGGATGGCGGAGGCAAGAGTAGAAGGAGCTAAACACCCCATTCACTCACTCACTCCCTGTTATATCCCACCTTTCCTTCAAGGAGCCCAAGGTGGTGCACATGACGCTTTGGCTCCCCATTTTATCCTCCCAACCACCCTGTGAGGTGGGCTAAGAATGAGTGACTGGCCCCAAGTCACCCAGTGAGCTTCATGGCTGAATGGGGATTTGAACCCAGCTCTCCCAGGTCGTAGTCCGACACACTAACCGCTACACCACACTGGATCTTGGATCCATGCTGCACAGGTCTTCCAGATTCAAAGGCAACTCTGGTTCCCCTGTTGGTAGCGATGTTGTTAGAGGGTGGCTCAGGTAGTCCAAGCCCCTGGTGTTTTGTGGGAGGCCCTGGATCAAGTGCTCTTCTGTCGGCACCCCACCTGGTTTAGTTTTGTTTTGTTAATGCTTATAGGGCAACTAGGGCACATCAACACACAGTCACAAGGAGGCCCCAGACACCCGCCATCTTAATTTCCCAGAGACATCTATACAATCTGCATATGCAAGTTATATGCAAATTACCTAGTAACACACTCGCTTGATAGATCAACCAGGCAAGCTCAGACTCCCCAAATCCCAAAGAGGTAACACTGTGCCCTCTCACTAAACACTGAAGCCTTGGCTGTGTGTGCCACATGTTCAGTGTTTTTCAAACCAGATAGTTGGTTTAGCAGCTGCACTAGCAGCTGCAGTTTGCTTTCCCTAAAAATCTATAGAAACAGCAGAGCCAAGTGCAGTCCTCCAAAATGAGTTCTCCATAACCCACCCCAAATTCTGCCTCCCCAACCTAAGAAGCCAGTCAGGAAGAACCCCTTCTCCCCAGAAATACCCCCCCCCCCAATAATCTGAGAATACAGGGGAAGCACAGGCCAAGAATCCACCAAGGAATTCACAATGGCTTCAAAATGCTAGCAGTTTTGATGGCCAGCACACACACAAGACCAAAATCATGCACAGGCCATACAAGTAAAAGCCCACACAAATCGGATTTCAGCCGGAGAGGAAATAAGCAAACAACAGCAGCAACAACAACACACAATTCCTACCAGCACTGGCAAACACAAATGTGCACAGCTAATATACCAAGGCAGGCCCTTGAGCAAAACCACATCAGAGCATGCATACAAATACACTCTCATCTGCCACCTGCTGGGGAAGTAGAGGATCTCATGGGAGCCACCACTATGCAAGTCCCTGTGCTCTAGTGTGCTGATCAGGATCATGCACAGCAGCTGCAGGAACTACAAGAAAGGTTTTAGGCTGAGGAGGGGAAAGGGCAGACCATCTCTCACCCACGTAGCATAATTCCACAGTCAACAGCACTTAGTGGTCCAGACTGGAACAGCACTTACAGGCAACGCTTGTGGTTTTCCTCCGCAGAGCAGCAAGGTGGCAGCACTGGTATGCTTCCCCTTTTTGCTCAGCCACAGAAATACTCTGCATCCACAGATAAGACCCTCCCCCCACTCGCTCGACCACTTATATTCTGGGTGAATAGAGGGTTGCAGAACTGAAGGCCTAGAGCCCCTGTTTTTCTGGGAAGTGAGCACCTCTTATTGCAAGGTGGGGCAAATGAAAGATAAATAACTCCAGCAGCTTCCCGGGGGGCAGATCTAGCAAATAAGTAGTGGGTGGCATGGCGGCGTGGCAGCGCTCACCTGACCTCCCAGCAGTGGAGTCGCTGCTGTTTACTGGGCAGGAGAGGGGCAAGGCAGCAGAGGGGAGGTGCAAACACACCAGCAGGAGACTGGTTGCTGCAGTGCGTTTGCACCGTGCCAGCCTCCTTGTTGCTGCCTTGCCCTCTCCTTCCTGGTAAGCAGCAGCGACCCAGCTGCCGGGAGGCCAGGGAAGCGGCGGAGCTCCACCGCAACCTCCGCTACTATTGGCAATGCCAGCAGTTCTACTCCTTGCACAGCTGCGGAGAACCGCAGCCACACCAACCTGCAGCAGCTCGCCCAGACCTCTTACCTCCATGAGCGCAATCCCAAGGCTGATCCCCACAATGGTGACGATGTTATTTGTGAGCCAGGTCTGGACGCCGTCCATGCAGCCCTACAATTGGACAAAGGCGTGTTTGTTAAAAAAAAGGCTGCTTGCTCACATACATGCGTGTTCCGAGAAGATAAGAGCTGTCAAGCCCACCATTCTGCGTCCCAGACAGCAACTAAATGCATCCAAGAAGTACAGGAGCACAGCAGCAAGGCAATAGCCCGCCGCAAGTTCTGTATTCAGCTATGCACTGCTTCTGAACATGGAGGTTCCATTTGGCCACAATGGCTAATAAGTCCTATTCTCCATGAACTTGCTTAATTACCCATTTAAAGCCATCCAAACTGGTGGCCATTCCCAGCAGTGGTTGCCAACAAGGAAGGACTGGGGGGGGGCAGATGTCCAGCCCCCACTCCCGGGAGATTGAAACAGAGGATCACCGGCCCCCGCAGCAGAGCTGTCTTACTGCATTTTGAAGTGAAGTGAAAATGTTGCAATCGAAAAAGCAGCCCCCTTCTCCCACCCCTCCACTGCCTGGTAAGACCATTACATTCAGTCTAGCATGGTCAAAACTGCACCACTGTTACCCCACATTGCATGGGAGTGCATCCCATAAATTAACTACACAGTGTGCAGAAAAGTGTTTCCTTTTGTCTGTTCCCGAATGGACTGCCAATTCCCCACTCCCATCATACCTTTTTACATTGATTTTTTTAACAACCAATGTGCAGACAGAACCGACAACAAAGAATCAAAAATTTATACCATAAAGCATTGCAGCCTGGAAGGACAAAAGTATGAAAAGATAACAACACAGCTCCAAAGAGATAATAATAACATGTTAACTCACGCCAAGGTTCCCTTAATAAAGATTTATAAAAGTACTCTCAGCCTCCAAGTTCCATCATTATTGTGAACAAAGGCTCTATATAGGCTTAACTGAGCCAGACATTTTGCATATATCATTTTGACCATGTGCCTCAATATTTATATAAGAAATAAAATCATGTCATCTTTATCTATATGTCCTTCAAGCTCTGCCCTTTAGGTACTTTCAGTTTATGAGATACCTTTCCAAGGAAGGCGATTTGCCAAACCCTCGAATAGCAGAATCCTAATTATTAAGATTAAAGGTCTTCTAGGACAGTGTTTCCCAACCGGTGTTCCGCGGCACACTAGTGTGCTGCCGGACGTTGCCTAGTGTGCCGTGGGAGTAGTGGCGTAGCGTGGGGGGTGCCAGGGGTGCCAGTCGCACCGGGCGCAACATCTGCGGGGGGCGCGAGTCCAGAGGGAAGGGACAAGTTCCTTCCTCCGCCGGGCTCCCCGCCGCCACCGCCAGCCTTGCGCCCTAGCGCGCGCGCGCCCCCCGCCGCCGCTGCGGCTGCGCTCCACTCACTGCTCGCAGGAGGAGCAGCCACTGCAGCAGCGCTGACACCGCCACCGACGCCTGGCCGGGCACGGGCAGCCTCCGCACCCCGACGCCATCCCCTTCCCCCTTTTTTTCCAGAGCTGGGGGAGGGGAGGTTTTAAAAGGGGGTCTTGCATTGGCGATCCTGCAGCACTTTGGGCCGCACGACGCGAGCGCGCAGCACGGATCAGCCACGACCCCACCCCGTGCATTTCCCGGGGAAAAGTGCTCCACGTGGGAGGCGCGTTTCCCCTTCATTCCCTCTCGTGCAAATCCTCCTTGGGTTCCCTCCCCCGTCTTTCCTCTCCCTACCTCACAAAAGCCTCACCTCGTCGCCTCCTCGCTGCCTCTCGCCTCCGCAGGAGCGTTTCCCTCCGCGGAAGAAGGAGCAGGGCGCTTTTGCAACTTTGCCTTCCCCGCCCCACCACGGAGCACATTTTCCTCGCCCCCCCCAACCCCCGCATGTAGAATAGAAGCCCTCCAGCCTCCACGGTGCACAAACTCTCCCCTCTGCAACGAAGCGCTTTGTTGCATATCTTTGGTGAGGTTTTTAGGCAGTCTTGGTGCACCTTAAATCAGCGCTAATTGCGCCTGGACGCAGTATTTACTTCTGAGTAGGCCCCCTTCTCCCCCCCCCCCCCCGTAGCACCTGACGTTGCTATTCGTATCATCAGGTTTGTTTGTTGATAATTTAATTGTTTTAAAAGCATCATGCTAAAGAGCTCTCTCCCACCCCCAGACCCTTGGGCAAAACAGAAACACACACATACACAAACACAGAGATTGAGCCCTGCAGGTTTTATGAAATGAATGGATTCTGAATGCCTGTTTCAGTGGCTTGTCCGCCTTAGGCTGCTGGGCCAGACACCTGTTACACGGTGCAGTCCGTAAGCTGTGAGCGCTGCTACCTGCCGCCGAGACCACGTAACGACAGTCTTGAAAGACCTACATTGGCTCCCAGTACCTTTCCGAGCACAATTCAAAGTGTTGGTGCTGACCTTTAAAGCCCTAAGCGGTTTCGGTCCAGTATACCTGAAGTAGCGTCTCCGCCACCATCGTTCAGCCCAGACACTGAGATCCAGTGCCAAGGGCCTTCTGGCAATTCCCTCACTGTGAAAAGTGAGGTTACAGGGAACCAGGCAGAGGGCCTTCTCGGTAGTGGCGCCCGCCCTGTGGAATGCCCTCCCATCAGACATCAAAGAGATAACCATTACCTTCTATGCTGTTACTATTTTTTTATTTTTTTTTTACATAAGTAAAAAGCGACCTTTCCCCATCTGGCATGGTGGTGTGCCTCGAGATTTTTTTCATGAAACAAGTGTGCCTTTGCCCAAAAAAGGTTGGGAAACACTGTTCTAGGATAATAATAGGGGCGTGGGTGGTGCTGTGGGTTAAACCACAGAGCCTAGGGCTTGCCAATCAGAAGGTTGGCGGTTCGAATCCCTGCGACGGGGTGAGCTCCCGTTGCTCGGTCCCTGCTCCTGTCCACCTAGCAGTTCGAAAACACGTCAAAGTGTGGAAGTAGAAAAATAGGTACCACTCTGGTGGGAAGGTAAACGGCGTTTCCGTGCGCTGCTCTGCCGATCCATTTCATTGGGTGACTTGGGAGTTTTAGAATTAACGGGATGGGAAGAAAAAGCCTCTTTCTATCCACTTTCTCCAAGCCATGCAAGTCAAGCTCAGAGCACAACAAGGGTCGGATTCTGACCAGAGAAGGGTTGCAAGCTTCCTCTCCCCTGCCTTCGGCTACTCACCATCTCATAGACGGACCACGGTTGCCCATAAGAGTTACAGAAGCCTGCGATCTTCGGCCTGGTGGTGGGGGCAGCGGTGGTGCCATTCCCTGGCTGGTCAGGCTGAGAGACGTTGCCGCTGCACGAGCAGGGATAGAGGTGGTAAGAGGAGTTCTTTATTATGCTGTTCTCCATCCAGTCATTGGAGAGGATCCATCCGCAACACTGGAGCTGCAGGGAGGCAAAAGAGAGAGACCATGAGAAGAAGACCTGGGGGCTGGGAGGGAAAGCTACCCCAGGGGCAGAGGAAGGGGGGCAATGGGGGCGGTCCACCCTGGGTGTCACCACCGAGCGGGTGACAAAATGGTGGGCGGCACTCACAACGGGGCCTGCAGCGCGCCAGCCTATCCCCAGGGCCGTCTAGTCCAACCCCCTGCAATGCAGGAAACTCAGCTAAAGCACCCATTAGCCATCCAACCTCTGCTTAAAAACCTCCAAGGAGGGAAAGTCCACAACCTCCCGAGGGAGACCGCTCCACTGTCAAACAGCTCTTAACAGTCAGAAAGTTCTTCCTAAATCTTAGAATCTCCTTTCTTGTAACTTGGAGCCATTTGTTCGAGTCCTGCCCTCCAGAGCAGGAGAAAACAAGCTTGCTTCATCTTCCATGTGACAGCCCTTGAGGTATTTGAAGCTGGCTATCCTATCTCCTCTTTTCCAGGCTAAACATACCCAGCTCCTTCAACCGTTCCTCATTAGGCTTGGCGTGAGTTTCAATCTGGTTTTTAGCCCATTGCTTTGTTGATTTTTAATCATTTTGTAATGTTTCAAATAATTTTTAACTCTGATAATCTCGTTTTATTCTTTTAGTAAATTGCTTCGGGTGCTTTTTTTTTTTACACAACTGAGCAGTACATTAATTTTGCTAAATTAATTGCCGTATTTTTCTGTGTATAAGACTAGGTTTTTCCCCTAAAAAATAATGTCAAAAATTAGGGGGACGTCTTATACATGGATATATCCCCCCCCCATTTTCTTAAATCTGAGTCCACCCATGAACATGGCAGGAGGAATCAAAAAGGCAGAGAAAATTTGGGTGGGCATTTCTTCTTGAGGAAAGTATCTTACCTCCATCTGCACATAATCCCAGCTCTCCTCCTCATCCGTGGACGGATTATATGTCCCATAGTGCTCAATTATTTCTGTGACATAGTCACCAACCTTTGTGTTGAGCTGCATGGGAATGAAAGTAAAGTTAAAAAGTCAGCTCTCCGACAGCAGCAACAGGCATTAGGGTGCTCCTATTCTCTGTGTGCCCTATAGCAAATTTCTTATAGTGTCTTCTTGGTTTGGCATGACCCGCCCCCCCAAAGGAATGCTGGCTGTTTCCTTACCAGCTGCCCAGATACAGGCAGGGGGGAAATGAAGCCCCTGTAAACAAGGTTGTAAATTGTGGTGCCCGGTTCCCCCTGGGTTCTTGAAAACCAAACAGATGTGATGTACTCTTCTTGAGCCTTCTCTGAATCTACACTTGCCCCACAAACTCCTAAACAGAAGTACATGTGAGAGCATTGAGTTTTCCTGTTTACCACAGTGGTACCTCAGGTTACAGATGCTTCAGGTTACAAACGCTTCAGGTTACAGACTCCGCTAACCCAGAAATAGTACCTCGGGTTAAGAACTTTACTTCAGAATGATAACAGAAATTGTGCGGCCGCGGTGCGGCGGCAGTGGGAGGCCCCATTAGCTAAAGTGGTACCTCAGGTTAAGAACAGTTTCAGGTTAAGAACGGACCTCTGGAACGAATTAAGTTCTTAACCCGAGGTACCACTATATAGGAGCTGGCTGGTTGCACAGAGCTTAATAGCTGGCCCTTGCGTCAATCACACAGCCATTCCTCCTCCCTCCAGGATAATTTAATTTAGAGAAAACTCTGCCAAATAAATGCTTTTTTAAAAACATAGAGCCTGCCTGAAAGTGTAGAAAGGAGGGTTTAAGAATCTACAACGGAGCCAGAGCCTGAGGCTCAAGGGTGGGGAAAAGCAAGAGTTCACCACCCAGCCAAAAGAGAGAAGAGATCAAAAGCGCACCCACGGCAAGAGGGAGGCGTGGGCCTGCTTCACCCCAACTTTCACCCTGCTCTCCCCTGCGTGTGAGTCACAAGCACTCGGAGAGGGAAAGGGAGATCAAAGGGCATGAGCAGCCCTCTCTCGCATGCCCCGCTTGTTCTTTCCTCTGCTCAGGCAAGGAAACCGAGGCTCGGTCGACAGCACACGCAAAAAGAACAAGGCGGCGGATTTGTAAGGGGGTAGAATGACATTTTCCACTTCAGACACTGGCGGGGGAATCTTTGAAACGTTTTCCCCTGTGTCAAACAAACTCTCTGTGAGTGGAAAAACCAGCACACAGGAAGTGAGTGGAGCTAGAACCCATTCTCCCCAATGTGCTAAGTCATCTACTTTCGGGGAAACTATTATGCACAAAGTGCTGCCCCCCCCCCAGCAAGTTGAGACAGTATGGTTGCTTCTGTCACCTCTACACTTTATCACCTCGTTCCACTGTGTTCCACATTTACAGCACACATTTGCTCCCCGCCCCCGCCGTCTGCCCCCCAAAGAATCCTGGGAGATATAGTTTGCTCGGGGTGCTGGGTTTCGTAGCTCTGGGAAGGGTAAGCTACAGTTGTCATAATTCTTGGGTTTGGCGTGTGTGCCTTAAATGTATTATGTGTATCTAGCCTAGCGATGAAAGCGTGGCGAGAGAGAGAAAAGGAGAGATAGATAATCTGATGTTTTCATTTGGACCGCGGTGGGGAAAATCCCAGGGCAGCCCCGCACTGACCCTCCCATGAGACACGCAGGTTTCACATTTTATCCAAGTGCCACTCACCGTTTTGCTCTGCGAATATACCAAGATTCCAATGATGATCTGGGCCAGGAAGAGAAGGAGCAGGAAGGCGAAGTACTGGCGGGGCACAGGGAACAAGAGAGGTCGTGAGACTCAGCCAACGTCCCACCACAGCCAGGTGAGCTACTGCAAGTCTCCCTCTCACGTGAGGAGAAGGCTGGATGCCGGCTGAGATAGTGGTTCCTCTCACCTCCCCACAAACATTTTCTATGCCTGCAGCTCCAGGGCTTCCTTCCAGACTGCTGTTTTTTACTCTGTCTGTGTCTCCCCTTGCTTTCCACAGATACAGAATCTACCCCACACCCCACGAAGGAGGCCCAGCCCCTGGATGTTTCTCCATGAGGTGGACAACCTGTTACTTCTAGGCAGGGTCCTGCACCCTCAGCATGGTCCGTGAGGCTTCAGGGTTCCCAGCATGCTGTGTCTGCTGCCTGGCTGTTTGTTGGGCCGCTATTCAAGGCGCAGGACACTTTCCTGCTGTAGTGACTGGCTGGCATTCAGAAGAAAACATGTGCCTTCTCTTTTCAGGATATCCTCCATCTTAGATGCTAATCAATAAAGGCTACGACTTTGCCCCATTTTCTTTGCTGCTATGGGGTGGCAGGTAGGCAGCCCTTCCCCCTTCTCCAGCAGCGCCACCCACCCAAATAATTTCCCTTGCCTCTTTCTGCACCTCTTCCAGCTCTACACTATTCTTTTTTGAGGTGGCGCAGTCAGAACTGTACACAGTATTCCAAATGCAGCAGCACACCACAGATTTATATAACATTGTGAAGCTACTGGCCGCTTTATTTTCAGTCCCTCTTCCAGTCACTCCCAAGAGTGGGATTTGTCTTTTGCCACTGCCACCACATGTGCGTTCTTGACCCACCCGGTCCTGCTTTCAGAAAAGGCCTGCCAACTCCCAGCAGGCCTTGCTTTTAACCCCTTATGCCTGAGTTCCTTTTCTTGGCTCCCCCCCCTCTCCACATACTTACACATCCTAGCATACACTTGATTTCCTTGAGGGAACCCAGGCAACCGAGGAATCCCATCCACATGGTGAGGATGCCGACCCCACAGAAAATATAGGACCAGATCTTGAGGGCATAATACGCCGACCCTGGAGAGGGAGTTAATAGGTAAATCATCAGTCCGGCCTGTCTTGACAGGAAACTCAAGAGGACAGAGATGGCAGAGAATATTTTTAGGAAGAAAAGCTGCCTTATGCAGAGTCAGACCACTGGCCCATTGTCTGCACCAGGGTTTCCCAAACATGGGTCTCCAGCTGTTTTCGGACTACAGTTCCCATCATCCCTGACCATTGGTCCTGCTAGCTAGGGTTGATGGGAGTTGTAGTCCTAAAGCGGCTGGAGACCCAAGTTTGGGAAACCCTGGTCTACAATGACTAGCAGTGGCTGCCCAGGGTTTCAGACAAGAATCTCTCCTACGTGGAGATGCCAGGGGATTGAATCTGGGACCTTCTGCACACAAGGCAAATTCTCCACCACTGAACTACGGTCCTTCCCCCAATTTTGTTAAAAGCCTACTTCTCTCCAGCAACCTGACTGGAAATTTTCCCTGGTATAAGGGTTCGGTGAAACAACAGGTGCTTATGGGAGCATGTTCTAAGGGGCTGAAATGCTACACATGAGCTGCCATGAGCTACCCCACAGCCTTTTCCCTGCAAAACCCAAAGCGTAGATGCAGGAGAAAGCAGCATCAATATGATGCCAAGGTGGGGGAAAGCACTGGTAGACAGCTGTAAGGAAAGGTCTGTTTTTTGTTCTCCTAGAATTTCCCCATTGGGGCCAGTGGGTGGGGTGCAGTGTCAGTTGGGACGGAGGAATATTAGCAACCCAGGAAGGAGAAGGGAAAGACGAGTATGTGAAACGGGACTGAGAGCCCCCCACCCACATCCACGCTGACAAGACTCACCTAGGACAGCCGCAAAACTGTCCCGGTCAAAAAGTAGCCATAAGCCAAAGCTAAACAGAAGTCCTCCGAGGAGCTGAAAGAAACAAGGAGTGGGGGGGGGAAGGTTATAAATCTATGTTCCTACATATTGCTTCCAAGTTTCTTTAAATCTTTCCTCATCAAAGATGAGCTTCTCAAAGGGCAAATGGAAATCATACTGATAGGCCCATCTATCCTGGCATAAGGCCTGCCCCCACCCCACCCCCCAAAAAAGTACTCACAAAGAATAAGAAATTGAAGAGGAAAAGGAAGTACTTTGTGACAGCGATGCAACCTTTGCGGGACATTGTGTCGTCCTGTGGGGAAGAAGAAGAGTGTCAAGGGGAGAAACAAAATACAAATCCAGTTTGGATTCTTTTTGGCAGGGCCCATTTCCCTCCCAGCCTCATCATGCTCCCATGTTTGTTATCTCCACACCAATCCTCAAGGAAGGTTATTTCATTTGGGTTCTTTAATTTTCCTTTTTTTAAAAAACGGAGCTCTAAGTTGCGGCCTCTGCCGTAACTTAGAATCCTAAGTGATGAAATCATAACAGCGGCTCACTCGGTTGCTGGGGAAACGTTGGCTGTCATCTTGGGGTTGCCTGTTCCATTCCAGGCTTTGCTGGTTGAGGAGGGGGAAAGGAAGGAGTAAGCAGAGAGGATGGAGGCCTCTCTTCCACACCCCAAGCCTGATCCAGGCCTCACTGATAACACCCATTGCGGCTGACAACTGGTTCCATGTGATAAAACAGTCCCACCCATTCTTCCATTGGGTTGCCAGTTGTTTAGCCTGCTATGCCTTTAAAAACAGTTTGAGGGACGGATAATCTTTATTTCCACATTGTAGGAAGCTTTATCAGCACATCAAAAGCTGCTGTTGGAAGGCCCAATATTTTGTTATTTTCTGGTCAGTTGGAACGCCTATCCACCACACACACACACACACACACACACTCCAAAACCACACTGTTTCCATCTGGCTGCAAGATCTGAGCCTGCACTGTCTCTAAGTGGCCTGCATTGTCTCTGAAGCTTTGACCACAGCCTCACAGCAGCTGAGTCCAATATGAGGAACCGTTCTTAGGTTTATCAAAAAAGCAGGTAGACAGCAGGAATTGAGAATGCAGGGGGACAACCATCCACTGCGGCAAGTCTATAGGACAGGCACCATTTAACCTTCCAAATTAAGTTGCTTTGCAAGTTTCAAGCTACATTCTCAGAAGCAGAAGTTCTCATTAAAGATAGCTATACAGATCCACAGACAGAGATAGATTAGTACATACCAGCAGCAAACTCATTCTCTGAGTGTGGACCCTTATATAGCTAAACAGCAACACCCACACTAAGTTTTACAGAAGTACCCCCAAAAAGTGGTTTGAGGGGGCGCTACAAAACAGCCCACTGAGGACTGAACATGCTCAGTGGTTATGGAAGGCTGACTGATAGTTCAGGGACTTGGAAAACCAGGTGCAAGGGGAGATTGGAATGGCGTGTCGTAGGAAAGGTCAGGGCTGGCTGGTTGGTTGGCTGGAACTCTGAACAGTAGCACTCTAGCCTACAACATTTTGCTGCGGGTCCCACCCATATTGCTGAATACAAGTTGTCAGGGAGCAGCCCTGTGTGTGGCCTTCCTGAAGGCATCTTGTTGGCCCCTGTAATAAAGCAAGATATTGAAGTAGATGAACTTTTGCTCAGGGCCAACAAGGATCTGTTCATGTTCAGACAGGTGGCTGGGCAACAGGGGTTGCTCAGGTGATGGAAGAAAATGCACTCTACCCATGGCCAGAGGCATTCTCACTGTACGTCACATGTTCCCACCACCCTCAGAAAGATCCTTCAGAACTGAGACTTGCTAGCAGGACAGATGATATCATCTCAGAGCAGACCAGAAGAGGAAGTGGTCGTTTCTGAAGGTGCTGTGCATCATAGATTCTCAGAAAGAGACAGGCTCACTTCCTGGGCTCCTTAGGCAACTGATTCTTATAATCTCTCTCAAAAATCTCTATCTTCTTGCGTGCAAGACCCACAGACTCACTCCTCTGCCTTTCCATTGGCTGAGCTAATAACTCACGTCTGCAGCAGTGCCAGTTCACACACATCTATATGCCACCTTCATTTGTGAAAACACAGGCCTCTGTCACATCTGCTCATTCACACCCTGTTTCAGCAAGACGGTTCAAGCTCTGCTCATCATTGTTATGCATACAGAAGTATGCGCAATCCGGATCACTTATGTAAGCTGTCCATGACACATTTACACTCATGGGAACGTCTCGAGTTGCACAAGAGCTTTTCAGATTCCGTGTACGAGGGAGCTCTCTCATATGTGCAGGTTCACAACCAGTGTCTGGCCTCTTGGACCTTAAAGAGCACACCAGCCTTCACCTCCATGGGTGTTTTGCGCAAGGGCACTTTTAAATACTTAGCACACACCAGACAGACATGCGTTTTGACAAGGACAGTCATTTTTGCCAGGTTTCCTCAATATACAGTCAGTAGCAAAATGACATATTAAACCACAAATCAACAAGTCATGATCCTCTTTGTCAAAGTCCCTTGGGTCCACACATACTGTCCACCTCTGCCTCATTTTTACACAAACAGTTCTCTCTTCTTCTGCCAAACAGGCTTTTTATTCTAAACTGGTTTCATCCCACCCAGCCTCACAGTGACACTGAGACTCACTGACTCTGAGGCCTCGAAACATATCACACCCCAAGATTCCCTCTCAACTTCTGCCCCATAAGCAGCCCACCTGCATCTCCAGCCAAGCCCACCCCCATCACTTGCCCCATAGATGACTCACTCAAAAATTAACCCCACGCTCTGCGATCAAGGATGTTATTCGAGGACCGAGTTTGGATCTCTGAGCTATGAGCCAACAGTCCCAACCCCAGATGTTTTCTTAAAAAACGCCTTTATTCGCTTTTATTCCCTATCCCCTCCATCTCCTACTGACCTCTTAACCCTACAATGTTCTGCCCTGGGACTTCTCAGCGTTCATTAAAACCCGATCTAGGAATGGCTCACCTTTCTGTATCACCCAGGCAGCCTTTTGCCTCTTCTTTCTGCTTTGGTTGCTATCTCAGCCTCTCGCTCTGCTCCCCGCAACCACCTAATAATTCGCCTTCTTTTGACGGTCCAAAGTTTCCAAACTTCGCTCATCCACCCAAAGGGGCCCACCTCCCTCATTTGCGCCTCGCGTTTCTGATTGGCTGCCTGGGGAGCAAAGGAGGCGGGGCTTGTATATTAACAATTAATAGATTCCAGCGTTCCACCCACAGCCGCCAGTTTCCAGCCCCCCTCCCCCTCCCTCTTTTGTTGCGGGCTGCCTTTTTTTTTTTTTTAAGGTGGTGCCGCTTCTCAAGGGGTATTTGGTTTCATGACGTTTATCCTCTGCGCCCTCCACATGCTGAAAGTGGCACAAGCACAGCGCGGGTTGTCCTGATCATACGTACTGCTTTTGCAAAAAAAATCCCCAACCCAATTATGCCAGTAAAAACATCCAAAACCAGGGGTTCAAGGCACGATGCCTCGCATCTCCGCGCGTTAATTTATATTGAGAAATAATACTAAGAGTCACAGCTCAAACCAATTTCCGCGCATTGCATGGTGAAAATTATAGATCCAGCACTTTTTGGGGACAGATCCATCGTACAGGGGGAAGGCTCTACTTGGTTTTCACATGGGGACACCCAAATCTACCAGCAAGTTAATTGCTCCTCAAGTCACAGTCCACGCTGAATAAAGATTCAGGGCTCTGCAGGGTTGCAGCAACTTTCCTCCACTTCCTAAAGACGCTTCCTCGTGATCGTAGCTTTCACATGGAGACGTTCCAGATCCACTGCGGATCTACCAGGCTATCAGCTCACAACACCCAAAGCAAATAAACCTTTGCATTGTGGCACTGCTGTGGTACGGAAACCTGAATCTGAAGCATGGACACGCACTTTTTTTTTCTAAGGAGAGATTTGGGGCTTTTCCCACCCTTCATGAGTGTTGCAGACAAATAGGGATTCCATCAATGACACCATTGACCATAACATCCTTCTGGACCATCTAGAGGGGCTGGGAGCTGGGGGCACTGTTATAAGGCCCGCAGACTGTCTCGCCAGAGTGGTGCATGCTCTAGTTGTCTCCCGCAGACTACTCCAGACTACTGCAATGCGCTCTACGTGGGGCTACCTTTGAAGGTGACCCGGAAACTGCAATTAATCCAGAATGCGGCAGTGAGACTGGTGACTGGGAGTGGCCACTGGGACCACATAACACCAGTCCTGAGAGATCTGCATTGGCTCCCTGTTACATTTCCGAGCACAATTCAAAGTGTTGGTGCTGACCTTTAAAGCCCTAAACAACCTCGGTCCTGTATACCTGAAGGAGCGTCTCCACCCCCATCGTTCAGCCCGGACACTGAGATCCAGCGCTGACAGCCTTCTGGCGGTTCCCTCATTGCAAGAAGTGAGGTTACAGGGAACAAGACAGAGGGCCTTCTCGGTAGTGGTGCCCACACTGTGGAACTCCCTCACATCAGATGTCAAGGAAATAAGCAGCTATCTTATTTTTAAAAGACATCTGAAACCAGCCCTGTTTAGGGAAGTTTTTAATATTTAATGCTGTATTGTTTTTAACACTCGATTGGTAGCCACCCAGAGTGGCTGGGGAAACTCAGCCAGATGGGCAGGGTATAAATAATATATTATTAATTATTATCGTCATCATCATCATCATTATCTTATTGCTGTTAACCTGTAATAATAATAATAATAATAATAATAATAATAATAATAATAATAATAATTTATTATTTGTACCCCGCCCATCTGGCTGGGTTTCTCCAGCCACTCTGGGCGGCTTCCATAGAAACCAAAGATACAGTAAAATATCACAGATTAAAAACTTCCCTGAACAGGGCTGCCTTAAGATGTCTTCTGAATGTCAGGTAGTTATTTATCGCTTTGACATCTGATGGGAGGGCGTTCCACAGGGCGGGCGCCACTACCGAGAAGGCCCTCTGCCTGGTTCCCTGTAGCTTTGCTTCTCGCAATGAGGGAACCGCCAGAAGGCCCTCGGCGCTGGACCTCAGCGTCCGGGCAGAACGATGGGGGTGGAGACGCTCCTTCAGGTATACAGGACCGAGGTTGTTTAGGGCTTTAAAGGTCAGCACCAACACTTTGAATTGTGCTCGGAAATGTAACAGGGAGCCAATGCAGATCTCTCAGGACTGGTGTTATGTGGTCTCGGCGGCCGCCCCCGGTCACCAGTCTAGCTGCCGCATTCTGGATTAGTTGTAGTTTCCGAGTCACCTTCAAAGGTAGCCCCACGTAGAGCGCATTGCAGTAGTCCAAGCGGGAGATAACCTGTAAGCCTCCATTCACTTTGTGTATAGTACTAATGATAGTACTAATCACCATTCATTTTGATAGTACTGATAATGACCACCACCACCAGCAGCAGCAGCAGCAGCACAGAGCATGGTACAAAAGAAGAGATGTTAGAGAAAATGCAAAATTTAAACACCCAAGAGATGAGCTGTGGTTTTGAGCTCATTCAGCCTACGTGGTATAATTCACACACATCTTTCTCTCTGTTGGTAAGATACAGGAACTTCCTTCTGCTTTCCATTTCCATAGAAATTAAATATGTTGTACAAAGAATTAATTAAGGCTACACTCCCAAGTAGTCTGTAGGACTCTCTACTGAGTAAGCACTCACAGGATTAGGCAGCATGTT